CCAGGTGGGGCGGCCCGGGGGGCGGGCCCCCCCCTGCAGAGCGCGCCACGTGGCCCGGCCCCAGCGCTGGCGTGGGGGGCGGCGGGAAAGGCACCCCCGCGCGCCGGGGCCCTGCAGGCCGAGGTCTCGAGGTCTCGCCCTCGCGCCCAGCTCGACGCCCAGCTCCCCTGCATGTGAGGGCCAGGAGCCCCCCCGGGGTCACGACCCCTGTTTTGGTTGCCTCCTGGGCACCAGCGTCAAACCCTGTCCTGTTGTGCATCTCTGAAGGGGCAGAAGGGGACCGGGGCTGCACCTGGGAGACGGCCTGTCCCAGCTGGCGGGAACCGCCTCAGTGGCGCCCTGTCGCCAAAAGCGCCCGTAAGGACCCAGGTGGCACCGACCTGGGTGGCACCGAACCAGTCCCTCGTTCCCATGCGAGGAGCACGCGGGGGCGCTAGGAAATGACCTTGGGCGCTTGGGGGACGGGGGTCCTGGCCACCACCGCTGGCACCCGCTCACGCTCCAGCCTCGTGCCAGGCACGGAGCGGGTGTGGGGAGCAGGCGGGCAGTGGCGCCACACCCCGCCCTGGGGACGACACTCCTGCGCTGTGGCCGGTTTGGGGCCAAGGGCACAGGCGCGAAGCCAGCTTTGTGCCGCCAGCGTCGGGCGAGGGGGGCTCTGGGAGTGCGCTGGTGACCCGGCCGCTGACCATGGGCGGGCGCGGACGGAGCTAGATCTTCGCAGCGCTTAAACCCGGAAAGCAGGACCCGAGACGGGGGTGGCTCGAACAGCTCACACGAGTAGTGCTTTATTGGAGTATTTCACATGCAAGAACCAAACTAGAGAGATGATTTCTGGAACAAGTTCAGAGATGGATTAATACATCTGGAGCATCCTGACATACACTGGTTTCTACGTGAAGACAGCAATGACGGTTAGTCTCTTTTTTTTTTTACATTGTCAGTCTTTTTAAATGGTTAAGTCCCTTTCCCCGCCCCCGCCCCAAACAAAAAAATATCCAATATCTTCAGTAAATAAATATTATTCCACTTTGTTTTTATCCAGAAAGCCTACAGCTTTAATATACAGGAGAAGCTAGTACGCGGGTTATGTCTGTAGTGTTAAACAGTAGCTCGTAGGAACATGTAGGGATTGAGGAGGAACTCGCACTCATAAAAACACAGAGCGGGGCGGTTGGTTTGGCATATGTTTGCCACCAAGGAAGAAGAGACAGCAGGAGGGAGAGCTGGGGGGGGAACGAGACAGGCTGGGACCAAAGCCAGCTGTCAGTCGAGTGTGGGCTCGGTTATCCCAGCGGGAGAGGGGAGCAGCTGCTGCCGGTGCCTGGCTGAGGCAGGGAGGTCTTCAAGCGCCGCGTGGAAGAGCACCAGCCCGGGGGTTCGGGAAGCCGTGGGCAGCGGGCACGGGTGCAGCCTGGTCCCGCCGGTGTTCGTTTGAAAGGGTTAAGTGGACAGAAGTGGCACCTGAGCGCTAGTGGCCGCGGGTCGGTGGGGACGCCTGCTGCCACGCTCGCTCTGGGCCAGTCCAGGGCAGCAGGGAGATGCCCACAGGATGCCAGGGGCAGCCCAGGAGGTTATTTCCAAACAGAACCATCTGCCCCACCCCACCAAGCTGCGTTTGCCTTGTGGCATTTGGGAGGTAAACGCAGGCAGAGCCAGGCGGGGACCATTGTCACCCCACCTCCGGGACCTCCCGACAACCACAGAGGCTCCACAACAGCCCAGGGCCAAGGCGGGCAGCTTGACGGGCTCTGCTTGGACAGGCTTGCTGCCCTCCCCGCCTCCAACGCCGCACATCCCGTTCCGATTGCTGCAGACAGCAGCGCTACAGGGGAGCAAGCAGGTATGAAGACCTTAGCTGGGTGAGATGGTACGTGCCCTGCTTCGATTAATACCTAGCGCCTCTGGGCAGCGTGCTCCCTTCTTGGCACCAGTGCGCTCAGCCCAGCGCCGGTCCTCGGCTATTGGAGGAAACTGAGTCTCGCCACCACCTGCGCCCAGCCAAAGCCCTGTGCTTACAGGGAGGCTGACGGCTTTACCCCTTCCTCTCCCTGGAAGGGCAGAAACACCCTGCAAATGTGGGTGCCAGAACTGCGCTGTGGAGCCTGGGGAAGGGGCTTCTTCGAGTTGGAAGGAGAAAGGGATGCTGGAAGCTACCAGGGGTCTGGCTGTGACCACCCTGCAGACATGTGCCTTTCCCTCCGAGACACCGCGCTATGTTTTTATGAGCTTCACGGACAGACCAGAGGCCCTACGAGTCCATACGGCACGCTGTCATCTACCCCACGCCTGCCAAAGGTGCACGTGGAACCTATACGCGACAATCAAAGCAGAACATAACGCCCCCCTGCCCCCCCAAATAGCTATTTAAATAGAAACAATTCACTTTGTACATCTCAGAGCATGAGGGGTTAACAGAGGAGGTTAAACACGTCTCCGAAAGAAAAAAAACGCATTGACAAAATAAATAGTCTAACCTAGGATAAGGTGTTGTTGGAGCTTGCAGAGGGTCCCGACTATGACTGTCGTGGAGCGTGTGGCAGCGGAGGCAAAATCTTTGAGCAAGCTCTCAGCCTTGCTAGGCCGCGCCTGGACGGAAGCAGTTCAAGCAGCAGCTCTGCTCCTCCTGGCCCGGGAGTCTCCACGCCACGTCGCTTCTGTCCTGCTCACGCAGGGGAAGCATTGGCATGGCCATGGACGGAGGAGTCCAGGTGGGGAGCAGTTTTCTCCAGACGAGGGATAATCCAGGCCTTTCCCAAGTAAAGGGAGACTGGGAGGATTGAACTGCTCACACTCCTGCAAACCATGATGAGCAGCACAGGGAAGACGGGCTGATCCTGATACAGGATACTGGGAACCTCTAGCAACGGTTCGTCCACCAACAGATCCTCCGGGCACTCGGTGTTCCCACCAACTGGTGTCATCCTCCAGCAAGTGCAGCCCACTCAGTCATGTCCCATGGCTTTCGGCCCCACGTCTGCCCTGCCTTGAATAGCCCGTGCCCAGAAGTGCTGCTCCTCTGGTGTCATAGGAGACACGGTCCTGGAAGCGCTGGATCTAGCAAAGGGCCGACCAGAGCGTGAGTTACTGCCCTGCCTTCCCGCCCCGTTAATGAGGGGACGCCTGCTCCCAGACAAAAAATAGCATGACCTCCAACTCATCGATACGCAGGGCCACAGCAGGCAACCCGGAGGGCCTGAGGCTGGAAGCACAGATAAGAAAGTGCCCTGACTCCCAGCGGCACCCAGCACTTCCCCGTTGAGGCCCAGCTGCTCCATCCCTCCCTAGCAGGGGCTCCAGTCCATCACATGGCAGCCCACTGGGATCTCGCCCAGGGGAACAATCAGGATCAAGGGGTTGGGAAGCAGGGGGCAGAGGAGAGAGGGGTGCCCTCTCCTTTCCCTTTAGGGGAGGGCAGATGCAGACAAGTTAGGCAGAGGGAGGACTCCATCAGCAACACCAGGTCATCATCCCAGCTCAGCTCCGAGCCCTGCAGCGATGCCCTCCCCGTCTCAACTCCCTCGAGCTCTGTACCCGGGTGAGCCCTGCTTGGCAGTGTCCCTGTTCTCTAGCAGTGCTATTAATCGGAGGACTTGGCGAGGCGGCTGGATTAGTATGCTTAGAATCACTTGATGTGGCTGTTTACAGGTTCCCAGGCTTGGAAAAGAAGAGGCCTGCCAAGAAACCCACAGAGCTTTTAGCACTCGCAGCAACGCACTCGCCGCAGGCAAGGGACGTCCGCTGGAATCGCGGGCACGGTGGGGCTGGAGCCAGCAGGGGAACTGGACTGTTTCCCGGGAAGGTGCGGTCATGTGTGACACCGTGGAGAAAGCCGGGGCGGTAATAACCAGGGACCCAGCGACAGGACACGACTCCTGAACGATGACACTGGCCTTCGCTGCCCCACGTGCAGGTAGATGGAGCTCAGTGCGTGCGTACGACCAGCCTCGTCTCCCAAGGGAGGCTGTGAAGGAGATGAAGGGCAAGGTGTCCTCTCTCTGCTGCCTCCCTGCCGCAGCATCCAAAGGCGAGACCTGCCAAGCGAAGCTAATCCAGGCATCCTTTCCCCAGGATGAGAGTGAGCCAGTACATCCTCCTCGCCTCGCATCCGGTTTTAATGCAGTCATATTCTCCATGGCCAAAACTAGGGCCCTTGCAGTGGGGGGTTGGCAGAACCACCTTGGCTGCGTCCCACCTCACCCCCCAGGCAACGAGGAGCGGATCCCGGGCAAGCGGGGGAATGGAAGGAGGGGCGGGGAAAGGCAGGGTGGGACAAGAGCCTTGGGTCAGGGACAGCTACAGAATGGAAGGGAGAAAAATCCCCCGTGCTTGGACGAACTACAGCATGCTGACAGCCCCCGAGCAGGCTGGTACGCTCCACCCGAGTTGCCCCTTCGCCCATCCCTTGCTGCCAGGCCTTCAAGCCAAAGAGTTTCCTTCCATTATCACCCTGCCCTAACGTCCTGCCTTGCTCTGTGAGTTGGACTGCAGCACTGTCCCGCTGTGCTGCAGCTATAATGTAGCGGCAGACACGTGCTGGGGTCCAGTTTCCCTTTCACGGCCACAAATGATGCTGTCACGTGCTGCCTTGCTTAAATGCCTGCCCCTAGCTGCAGGCAGCTTCTTTCTGGGGTTCAGGAATCCGTACGGACAATTCTGCTTTGCAGCAGCATCTTGCAGCCCAGCACCTTGCAAGGAGATGTTTGGGGCTGGCCCTGGTGCTCTCATGCTGTTACTTAGCTCAGGATGTGCTGGCTAACGGAGATGGAGGAGCCGTTCCACAGTCTAACCAAATCCAGACAAAAGCCTCTCTCCACTTTGTACAGCCAGTGCTCAGAGAGCTGGCACTGGGAAAGACCGTGTTAGCCCCATGCAAACACTGTCACAAGGACAGGCCTCTTAGTTGGAGCTTCCACCGTAGCAGCCGAGGATGAGGCAATTCGCTGCCTAAAGACTCTGGTGCCCCTAGGAATAGTAACGGAAACGCTACTGGGGCTGGCAGGTGAATCGGATGCTGTGGGCTGATCTGATAAAGCGCCTCCAGGTTAGTCCAGCAGATTAACTCTGCTGTAAAGCGTTTATTTAAGTCACACCTCCACTGTGCCATCCTGTCGCCCTGGCTGTCTGCCAAGGGTACACGTGAGGCATGCCATGACTGGTAGTGGGAGAAAGGCAGGATTACGGTGGAGATGACAGGCGTGGGTTCCCGCGCCCTGGCTCAGTCTGCCAGATGTGGCCAAGAAGACTTGCACGCCGAGGAGTTCGTGGTGGCTTTCCGAGGAGGGCAGCAGCATCTGGCGAGCAGAGAGAAGAGAGCGCCAGCGTGCAGGCAAAATGGGAGACAACTGCCTCTCAGGGCTAGGAGGAAGCAGAGATGCCGTAGGGAGCCTCCATGAGCATCTCAGACGATGCACAATATGGCCACGGTGCTGTCCGGAGCTCCTCCCGGCAGAAAGAGCTGCATCTCAAGCAAGCGGTGCCATTAAATCCTTCCATTGGTATCTGTCTACGTAGACTTGTACCAGTGATTGCAGCTTTGGCCCCCTTCCCAACAGCTGGCCTCCTGGAGCAAGCATGTCTGTCCTGACCTCTCCGATGCCATAGGACTTGCCGGGGAATTAGGAAAGGGGCTCCTTCCTCCCGCATGCCAGTCGCACCCCAGGCAGGCTGCTTTCCTCTTCGTTTGTACGGATCCTGTCGAGCTCGCTGGATGAAGGCAGCGCCTGCTTGTGTCAGAGCTACAGTTCCTGGAGCAGCCTTTTCCCTCGCACAAAGATACAATCTGTATGAGACGATAAACCTACCAGACTTGGGAGGAAGCCCCCACAGGGCTTCATACAATCTAGTGCTGACCCCCGGGGTTTCCTGTTCTCGTCGGTCGTCAGCTCTGCTGAACAAGGCCAACGAATCGCTGTCCAATGACAGCAAGATTGGATAAACCCAACGGAAAAAAAATACTCCATGAGGTAAAGACCCTGCAGCATCCCAAAGTGGGGAAAAGCAGCTACGGTACTAGGGGCCTTGCAAGCGGAGGGTCTTAATGGGTGAAGCATATCTGGAGTGGGGAAGTGTTGCTCTTTGCTGCCTGAGCCTCCGAGAATCCAGCGCACCGATGCTGCATCTAAACATCAAGATGCGTTCGCCTGCACACGCCAGTGCCGCCCGTCCCAGGCTGATTGACAGGCCGGCCCGTCTGCCGAAGAGGCGCATCTCTCTGCAAATCAAAAGTCAAGGCGACTCTCCCTGGCCATGTCAAAGTGCAAAGTCCTCATGCATCGTTAAAGGGGCTTTCAGCCTCAAGAGCTGGCTTTAGGCAGCCTGGATGGGTCAGGGTGGGTTAAGCTAGCGTTGGAGAACTGTGACCGGGCAGGAGCAGAGTTGGGTGTAAATGGGAAGAGTCAGCTTTCTGAGGCTGGGCTACTTGAGAGAGAGAGAGATAAGAGAAGTGACCTATGAAACCAGGAGGGCAAAGGGGTCATCGTTAGCTAAGGATGGGGAGAGGACAGCGTGACCGTACAGCCGCGTGTTCCTCTGCCGGGCGCAGGGCAGGGAGCCAGGAGCGAGCTTCACAGTGCAAAGAGGGCGTCCTCCGAGCGCTCCTGCTTCTTCCTGCCTGGCGGGTTCGCTGGAGGGGTGGGGGCCTCCGGGGGAGGAGAAGGCAAATTGGGGACCATCTCCGCGGCTTTGGCTCGTTCTTCTAAAAACTTATCAAACTCTGCAACGCAAAAACAACAGAGAGGGAAATGGGAATCAGTCAGCGATGGGGTCAAGCCAGGCATCTGCCCAGGCCCGAACCTAGCGCTAACTGGCAGGTCTCTAAGGATGCCTGGTAGGCTCGGCACGGGCAGTACCAGGGAGAGTTTCCCCCTCCATCCCTGATCCAGTAGGACCATTTCCAGGGATAAGATAAAGCGTTCAGTCTTCACAGTTGCTCACCAAGGTTAGCCCAGCCCTGGGGCAATGACCTTCAGCTCATGGAGCTGGACGACCAAAACTGGCACAGAAACAGACTCTTTTCACACCAGACCCCTGCCACAATCCTCAGGTGAGGACAGCCTTATGACTACAGCCAGCCTAGGGCAGACACGCACAGGCAACAAGAGGGAACAGCTCCATACCAGCGGGTTTCCATCTTTCTCCATCCTGCTAACATCCTAAAACTTGCCCCTGCTCTTGCTGGGCGCTAACTGGGATCCCTGTCCCATTCAGTATTATGAAGAAGGGCAGTGTGGTTTTGGCTCTGACAGCGGGGTACGAGCCCCCGGTTGAAACCCGTGCTCCGTACCATCATCTCCCCACAGGCACAGGACATGTATAAGGACACGGCTTTCTCTTGGAAAGAGGCGTTGCAGTGACAGCATTCAGAGAGCACAGCACAATGAAAAGACCAAGCAAGGAGGCAAGCCCGAGCTGTGGAGAAAACCCCACCAAGTACTATCCTTTGTTCTTCTTGACAAAGCTAGGGGAGCTGTCCCTTCACTTCTCCACACCCCTCGTTCCAGTCCCAAGTGAGCGCAGCCTGCCGGTACTCACTGGGCTCTCCCACTGCTCTTGGGGTGTCCACCACGTAACAAGGAGGTGTCCCTGTCCCAAATACTCAATGGCTAAGAAAAGCCCATGGTAAAAATCGAGTGCAGTGGTTGCATTATAAGCATTGCTACGCGTGTGTGTCGGGGGGAGCACGAGAACACACCATATGAGTGGGAAACTGCAGGAAAGGAGAGCAGCGGGAAGCTGAAGAACAGTTTCTTGGGCTGGGTGTTGATTTTACACGTACAGCTGCAACGAGATGCGAGAGGGCACGTTGCATTGGCTCCTCGACCTAGAAATGATGGCACCATCTGCTTAATGCGCAAATATGAATCGCGCCATTTCTGGGGTATGTGGCCATGCCTTGGAAATACTCCATGTGTGCCTGCAGAGCCAATAAAACGTGCCCCCACATGTCTGTTTTACTGCCAGGACATGACCACTGCCTTTTTAAAAGATCAGCCTTTCATTTGGAGGTGTCTTGCCTCCTGCCAGCCTTGCCAGGCAGCTGGGATGGCTTTGGCTGTATTATTTTTTTGCTGCTAACGAGGCGCTTGTCAGACTCTTGATGTTCCAATAGCAGAACTTAAAAGGCCGGTTTTGGCTCGAAGAAGCCTGCAGCCCCGACAGAGATCAGCATTGCCGGAGGCGGGCAGGACAGACAGACAGACAAGGCTTTACCTATCTGCCAGCAAGGAGCTTGGTGAGAAGCAGAAGGGAAATGGGAAAGGAAAGCAGGATGGTGACAGGCGGCAAGGGACCGGAGAGAAAGGTGTCGGTTTGGAAACGGGGAATACAGCGGTCCCTTCCTGAAAGGGCAGTGGTGCCAGCAACAGGAGACAGTCACTGCACAGGGCGCAGGACGGAGGGGTTTCTGAGTGCTGCACAGCTACTGAGTGATGGAAGGGAGTGACTTGCAGGCAGCTAGCACAGAGGGGGGGGTTTAATGCTTCCTCCCCGAATCCTTTGCCTCTTCTCCTCTCAGTGAAGACGGTGCAGAATGATGTGCTACAGAACAGGAGACAAAGAGGGTTGCGGGTTGGAAGAGGACCTCTGCTAGCTGACTCTATCTGAAGGCATCGCTGTGGACATTTCAGTCTGGAGGTACCTAATGACTACAGACGGCACAGGCCCTTCTCCGCTTACCTTCACTGGTCACTCCTTCTTCCAGCTCGTCTCCTTTCTGCAATTGGAAGAAAGAAACCGTTAAGAACACATATGCCGAGCTTTCTCCTCCAGCATTTCACCCCATGTGTGTTTACAGCTCAACTCTCCCAGTCCCAGTGCTCCTGTTTAAAAACACAGTAACTGTTTGAGCAGAATGACCTAGAAAATCATGTGATTTTCTTGCCGGAGGCAGAAGAACAACTAATTTTCCTCTCTGAGCTGCAGAGCCTGAGAAACAGCATAGGTGATAACACCACTGATCCTCAGTGGCATCCACTATCTGTACTTTTCCCCATTAGACCTGAGTGACAGCGCGTTTCCATCTTCCCTTCAGGGACCGCAGTCCTCTTCCAGCCAAGAAACGCTAGTGCCTGACACAAGACAGTTCTTCCCTTATACAGCCTATTTAGTTAATAATACATCTTGCTAGAAACTTAAGCAAGGGAAACCCCCAGTGACATGTTCAGGGACACTATTCCCCCCCAAAGTTAAATGGCTCATCCTGGATTTAGATTGAATTAATTGTTATAGAAAGCAAAACGTGCTGTACAGCATGTTGTGCCTTGACCACGGACAAAAATAAGGTGGGGAGGGTGAAGCAGAGCGATGAAAAACTAGGCAGGTTGTCCACGGGAGCTAGTGAAGGTTAGCACCCCGTACTTCGCATGCTCCGAACCTTCGTGGGCCTGCCTTTCACCCAGCTCTGAGGACTCATCTCCTCAATGAGGGAGTTGTAGTAAGTTCTAAGTAGGTGACATAATTTTTGAGCAACTACGAATGAGAAAGGGAACACTTAAGGACTTGAACCCCTACTTTTTAAGTCTGCTTTGAAACCAGGAAATAGTTGTCCCGCCTTCAGTTTCTTCATCTGTAAAATGGGACTATCACCTGCCTTGCAAGGGGCTCACGAAGATGACCGTTAAAGGCCAGGGGGAAGTTGAAGCAAGATCCTATTGCATAGAATTTGCCACAAGCACACAGTAGCTGGAGCTTAGTGCATAACCTCGTATCTTGTTCTCATGCCCCCCACCCCTACCCGCTTTCTTTAAAGCAGTACATAGACTAGTCTGTGTTCCCTTGAGCTGGGGAGCAGGGAGGGGGCAGAAATAAGTACTGACCAAAACAGGGAAAAATAAAATTGGTGGAGGAAAAACGCCCCCATAAAGCTACAACTGATACGTCCGTGCTGCAAACTTGCATGCATTGCAAGCTTGCTTTAAATGCATCGGCTCAGAACTGGTGAGCCAGGGCAATTTGCTGTTTCGTGGCACAGGGTAAATTAGCCCACACAGAGCTCTGCGATGCTACAGCAGGGTGGTTCCCAGTACCGGAGCCGGCTGCTGCAGGGATTGCTGCACTATGCTGCAGCCTGCAGCGGAGGAAGGCAGAGAGCTGGTATCCGGTAGCACCCCCAGCAGATTTGCCATTGCTGTTAAACTAATTCCACAATGGCCAAGCTCTCCTTTTTGAGAAACAAAT